CACTGGTCGCGAAGAGGGAGACAAAAGGCCTAAGGAATCCGAAAATACGATGCAAACAACACTTGAGAACAATAATGTGTAAGGAGCGAGAAGAAGACGGTGCACACAAAAATATTGTCGACTTGCACGCAATCCAAGCATAAAATGTGGACAAGCGTAATAATTTTCTGACTGCGTATGGACCACTTATGGAATTATTTTGTGATTGGTTTGGTTCCTACTAGGCAGGATTTTTTTCGGATTTTTTATTGTTTTTACGAGTTTTATGAGATGGAGGTAATAATAATGCGGGATTTATTGGTTACGTGGACAAACAGTGGGAGAAAGCGGGAGAGAAGAAATCAAGAACAATTGTAACAGAAAGACATGTCAAAGTTTGTTAACAATTTACGAAATGGGTTTTCAAAAATTTTGAAAAAAAGAAGAAAAAACTACATTTCCATAAATTTTTAAGACATAACCCCATTTTTTTACTCGACATTAAGCCACTTAAAGAAATACGTCATCAAGACGGTAAAAATTCGAAAAACGTTATAAAATTCCAGAAATTGTTCAAGAATAACCCTTTCACTTTTTCTTCCTGGTGTTTTCCTTCATCTACAAAAGTACACTTTTTTTCCTCAAAATTAAGCAAGTTACATCATTAAGACGGTAAAAAATAACTTTATAAACTGGCAAAATATGTTGTGAAATTGCATTTCCAAAATTTTTCAAGAATAACCCTTTATCCTCCCGGTTTTATTTCCTTGTGACCTTTTACAAATCAAACAAATTACGTCATCAACCCGTAAAAATAGCCACGTGTCAATTATTTATTAACACTTTTTTTTGACGACTATATTACTTATCACCCTACACACTTCAATCTTCTTACGTACGTCGTTTCGACACAAAAGCGAGTGAAAAATTTTGCATTTTTAGCCCCCATTTTCCACCCATCCCAAGATTATTAATGCGGACCCATTTTTCATGCCTTTTTGCGAATTTACATATGCAAGACATCAATCTAAATCCAAACCAGGCAAACTTTCTCCGAGTGTAAAAGTGGAAATGAAGCAATTTATTTATGTTTCGATCCACCAGGAGTCGAGGCGAGGTGTATAATCGCCTCACAAAATATATGCCCAGCCAGCCAAGCTCCCACTTTATTCCATCCCCCACTCAATTAATGTTTCAGAACTCGAGTATTTATGCATCATGCTTTTACTTAAGGGGCATACTTTTACTTATGGGTGGGTAGAGTTGTACGATGGACAAATAAAGGTGTGGGAATAAATGGCAGAAATTTTGGGAATTTTGCTACGTGTAGAAATTTATATTTTTAGGAAATCTAGATTTTTGGGAAATTGTCTGATTTTTTTTATAATTTACCTCGTGAAAATAAATTATTGGAATTTTTAACCATGAAAATGTTAATTAATTTTCATAGCATTTTTTCATGAAAAAAATTGCATAGCATTTTTTTGTATGAAAATAATTACCGAGAATCTTTAAGTATTAGTAAATATAAATTTCTGGAATCATTTGCAAAAAAATTAATTCATTGCATTTTTTTGCATGAAAGTACATATACCCAGAATCTTTAAGTGTAGATATAAAAGTCGGGAATTATAAGCATGAAAATAAAAATTCATCGTAGATATTTTTTCATGAAAATAAATACCGTATGTATGTACATACATAACTTTTGGGAATTTTGAAAATGCCAAATTTCTCAGCAACTTATTATAATTATAAAATTGGGCTTTCCAGATTAATAAATAAATGCAGCCCAAATATAGCATCAGTACAACTCTACACTTATTTTGACGGACTGACTTACTACCTGAATGAGTTAGTGACTTGTATATATCGCGAACAAATTAATGTATTTATTATTCACACATGCTGACCTTTACCACTGTGATGGGGGAGAAAGAAAGCCTGTATGTATTTATGACGGCGTCTTGTCCGTCCGTCCGTCCATCCATTCGTCTAGCCGCTTAAAGTATTTAGCTTGTTTGTCCCCCTATTTATACATCGCTTTCTCTTAAATGCTAGGTACGAGGAAATGGTTGGTTGGTAGTGACCTTTAAATAATTGCCACCCTCTCTCTTCTCTCGTGTTGATATAAATAATTGTGATGTTCCCCTTAATGCACAAACTTGGCAAATTTTAGGTATTCATTTGCACAGCAATTTTGGGGTTAGTGTTTCGTTTCTTGTAGGTTTGCTATATTTCTTGCAAGAAATGCGAGCTGCAAAAAAACTGAGAGAAACTGCAAGAAATAAGCGCCGTATGAAGTATGCGCGGCGGGGCGTAGTTTTTCGCGCCTTGCATTTCTCCCACGTCAAAATATTTACCTGGAAGAAACCACTTTCTCCCCGTTATTTCTTGCACCCGAAACACGACAAAACTATCATGCCATCTAAAATTACCGACGAAATACCCGGAATTCTATATATATTTACATACCACCCCACATATGCAAAATTTTCCTCAATTAAAACGACCCGCATTTAAAATAGCTCGGGATATTTTAAAACGTGTAAAAAAAACTGGGTAACCAACAACTCTTATCCGTTACATATTTAAAATTTGACGGATTGACAGTAGCACATGGGGCGAAAAAAGAGAAAGTGGGCACAAGGGAAGCCATTAAATTAATCGAATGAATATGAAGATGAATTTTAGTGACAGGATATAATTTCTTACACCTTGCATTTCTTGCAGGTAAAATGTTTAGCTGCAAAAATCTTTATTTCACGTGGTTACTTGCACCCGAACCATGACAAAGTTTTCTTGACATCTAAAATTACAGACGAGCAATACCCGGAATTCTATGTATGCAAAATTTCTCTCAATTAAAACGACCCGCATTTAAAATAGCTCGGGTTATTTTAAAACGTGTAGAAAAAACTGGGTAACCATCCACTCGTTACATATTTAGAATTTGACGGATTGACAGTGGCACATGGAGCGAAAAAAAGAGAAAGTGGGCACAAGGGCAGGCAGCCATTAAATTAAGCATTTTGCACAAGCAAACTAATCCTTTATTTAAAAGTAACAGACGGCACAAGTCAAGTCAAATGCCCGTTTCTTCTTCTTCTCTTCTTGGCCAAGACGCGGATTTATTATGTAGAACTTGTGCTAAAAGTTTTGCGAATGTCTGTCTTGATATATATTTCTTTTGATTCGGAGGAATGGTTTGGTTTGGCAAACATTTGCTTTAAACAGATGAGAATAAATCTTGGGGAGGACGGGTCATAAATATTTCATTAATATGCTGCTACAATCAAGTTGATGTGCGGTGTATGTGTGTAGGTACGTAGGAAAAAGACAAAGTTAAGTGATCCCGATCAACATGGAGGCACACAAGGCGAAAAACTGGTCAGGTTAAAAGAACGCCTTACGCCACACTTTGTCGAAACGACGGTTTATCCACAGCGACGAACTTGTGTGTCGTCTAGTTTTGGATTGTAATCTATGGTTGGGCGAATTTACAAGCTTGTGGACCGTCGAAAAACCGTCATTTTAGTCAGATCGGGTTATGTTTTGTCAAACATACAAATAAACTATGCGAAAAACTTGTGTACACTCTTAACTGGTATTAAATCATTACCGACCGGAGTACATGTTACTCTACCTGCACTGGTATTAACGGGAATTACCGTTGAGTAATGTTATGGTAATGAAAAATTTACCAGTCAGGAACAATTTACTACCAATCGGGTAGGAAATTATTACCAAATCAATACCAGCACGGAGTATTTATATGACTCTACCAGATTTTTAATAATGTAAGTATGTACATTACCTAATTTCTGCATGGGTTAACCGTCATTTGGTCCAAGTCTATTGTTTATCGGGGAAGTTTTATTCGCACTTGTTTTTTTATACAAATATATACGTTTAGTTGGATGCACTATTCGTGTCAGATTGGATTTATTGTCAATAAAATTAATGCATACGTTTTGTCCAACGGTTAAAGAGAAAGCGATCCAGTTTTTTGTATTCTTTGTCCCATTCCGACACTCATTATTTGCACGTATGTCATTATTTATTTTGGCTAATGATTCCTACTCTCTATGTAATTTATGGTAGGGTAAATTCCATCAAAATCAAAATGCATAAGCATACCTATAACGAGCTTATAGTTACATAATGAGCTTAAATTTAGGAAATATGAAAGTGTAAAACTAAACTGGGCACGTAAACATGTCATGAAAAATGAACTTGTGACTTGCATGATGTAACGAAACGTCAATGTCAAACGAATGAGGTAAAATTACACAATTTCGGAACTTTCAACTTGACAAGTTTCACCCAAACGTGCCTTCTCCAAGCTATTCATTAGCTTTCAGTTTGTTCACAGGAGTATTTTCAGTCTTGTTTTTAAAGGGTGAAAGTCACTCCCACCACGCAATTTAGTTATGTCACCTGGTGGAAATTTACCACTTTAGGAACAAAAACTTCATTAAAATTGCATTAAATCGGGTCATTATTCAAGGAGAAAGTGACACTCGGAAATTATGACTATGTAGTGTCGATCCCCTCTTTTGCACATGTGGATCAATAGTGACAAAAAAAATATGGATATAAATAAACCAAGATTTTTCATTAAACAACGCTTTTTGCGTGCTGAAATTCAAATTCTAAAAAAAAGAATCTGAAATTTCGATGCGAGATTTCAATCAATAAAACGAATATGGAATCAAAATGCTACAAAAAAATTTTAAACTGGAATTTGTATGTGTTGAAATTTGCTAAAATTTTAATAATCTCGTGAGTATTTTTTCCTGGCGAAACGAAGAATCAGCAAAAAAGCTATAAAAATTTACCAATTTGACTACAGAATTTTTGGTTATTTAAATTTCCAAATTTTCAAGATCTCTCATTCTCATTCATCTAAAGTTTCTAGACGAAATCTCACCAAAACCAAGAATTTTAACAAAACAAAAAATCAATAAAAATTGCAATTTCAAATATTTTAATATTTTTTTTTCTCTCTATTTTTCCAGGCGAAATCTCAGGCAACGAGGAGGACGGGGAAGAAATGTCCACCGGACTGACGCGAAGTCTTAACCACAGCCCGATCCATAAGCCTTACTTATCATCCACCTCCTCCAACAATAACAATTCCTCCACCACCACCATGACGAAGGGGGCCTCGGCCGGAAGCTTATCCACCACCACGCCCTCCGACTCCTCCTCCCCCAACAAAAAAATCGCCAACGGTGACACCGACTCGTCCAGCTCCACCGTCGCCCCGGCGGAAAACCCGTCCCCCTCAAATCACCACCACAACAACCACCACATGTCCAACGGAAACGACCGTGGGGGGTATTACCACAACAACCACCACAACCACCACCACGACGCCAACTACACCCCCCACAACAACCACCACTACGAAAGTCACTACGACCGGTACCACTACCACAAGGATAACTACCGACCCCCCTCCTACTACAATGGGGGTGGGTATGAAGGTGGGGGGAGGGGGTCATCCTCCTCCGAACGAGGTTATCATGGGGGTGGGGGTCATCATCACAAGTCCGACTCGTACCACGGGGGTTATCAGTCCGGTGGTTATCATGGAGGATACAGAGGCGGCGGAAGTAATGGGTACAATACTTATAATCGAAACAATTCGACGACCGGAAATGGATCTTCGTCCGAGAGTGGGGGGTATAATGGGGGTGGGGGTGGTGGAGGTGACTATAATGGTGGAGGGGGACACCACCCCCCGTCCAGATCGTATGGACCGGGAAGATTCAGACGGAGTAGGAGTTATCCAGCGTCGAATTATTATTATGCGAATGGAAGCGGGGGTGGTGGGGCAGGAAGTAATTGTGACAATACCAACAAGCCTTCTTATAATCAAGGTGAGTGGCAATTTGTGACAATGTTGTGGATTAGTTAGGGCGCAAGTTAGTGAAAAAATAGTGAAATTTTGTATAAATGGGCATAATTTATGGAAATATTTCCAGAATTAAATTATGCGTACTATTTGTTTACAACCATGTGCGTATGTTAACTTGCGCCCATGTTGTAGCTTAACTATGGCGCAAGTTAGTTCATAAAAAACGTGAAATATAACGTAGCCTAATTTTTAAAAAATTCAGAATTAGTAATTTTGGGTAGAATTTTATAATTATTTACAACCATGTGCGAAACTCAACTTGCGCCCACATTGTAGCTTAACTATGACGCAAGTTACTACCAGACGAGCATAACTTGTTACAAGATTTTTTACCTCAAAATTATGAAAATTCTGCTTTAAATTATTAATTACAATTTAAAAATTTGTTCATTATTTACAATCACCTTTAAAGATCACCTCAACTTGCGCCACTGTTCTAACTAAACTTAACTCATGGCGCAAGTTACTATCTAATTCGCTGAAAGATATTTTATCCCTCAAGTTAGTAAAATCCAGATTACAATTTGCTCATTATTTACAATACAAATCACTGACAGAGGAAAGGAGTCGTGTTAATTGAAAACTTCTCTCCAACTTCCATTCTTAAATCTGTCGTGGTTTAATCAGAAACGCGTCGTTAATTTATTGGCTGACATGCCAAAGGTCGCATTCCTTCTAGAAAAACAAAACAGATTCAAATGCACGAGGAAATCTTATTTCGAGCGAATTTGGAAAGCTTCCATGCATAATTTGAATACATGTGTGGGGAGAGAAATATCAATTAAAGAGGCACTAACGAATCAGCATTTTCTGAATAAATGGGTAATTTCTACAGGAAAAATTAGTACTTTCAATTTAATGACGAAATCCCAATCAAAATTGAGGTAAAATTCAAAATTTATTTAATTAACGGATACAAAAACAAGATAATATAATTCGTTAAAAATCGTAAAAAATTTGACATTTATTTCAAACATGAGATAAATGTATATTCAAAATTTGTTAAATTAACTGCAGACAAATAATCATAGCGAGATATTAGTGAAAATTTTTGTAAAATTTACAAAAGATTGATATTTTTAAGAAACATAGAAATATTAAAATTATTTAAAACAATTTGAAATTTTAATGATTTAAGATACCTATAAAAAATTGTCAAATCAAAAAGTCGAAAATAAATTTTAACCAGAAAAACATGTCTGCAAAATTCTATTTATGTTAAGTTTTTCAATTAAAACTTAAAAAAATCGCATTATTTAACATTCCAAAATATAATTAGCTTGATTTTTTCAAAAATATTTATAAAAAATTTTGAGGTTTAAAAGATTTAAGATACCTATACAAAAATTGTCAAATCAAAACGTCAAAAATAAATTTTTACAAAAAAAAATTTGACTGAAAAACTATATTCAGGTTAATTATTACAATTTCTTGGTTTATTGAATTGGAATTCTAATTAACTTGATTTTAGAAATAAAACTTTTTAAAATCGTATCATTTAATATCTAAAAGCTCGAAAATATTTATAATTAGCTAGATTTTTTCCAAATAAATTGATAAAAATCATAAATTTTCACACCCATCACATCACATTTCTACCTTCTTTTTTAAAAATCCAACCTGCAAAATACAATCCTAACCCACCTGTCTCTCCCTCTGCAATTTAATTTATCCATCTCTCTCTCACTGTTGGGACCATCTTGGTTTCATTAAAATTTTTTTTAAATCATCCCTTAAAACTTGAAAATAATATAAATTAGGTCGATTTTTTTCAAAAATATTTATAAAAATCATGAATTTTCACACCCACCACATTTTTAAAATATCTAACGTGGAAAAATTTAATATTACATAAACCGCAGCCCACTTGTCTCACTCTCTGCAATTTAATTCTCTCTCTCTGCTGGGACCATCTTGGTTTATTCCCAAAAATTTGCATTGACATTTTCCCCGCACGTGAGTCCGGAAGCAGAAGAGGCAGAGACCTATTTCTGGCACGGAATCCATTCCAACTTCTATTTTTATGGTCGACTTATTCTAAACGTGTTTCCATTCCGATTCAATCGGCTTAAAAAGAGTGAGATTAGATTAACCTCCGCTGCTTTCCAAATCCTGTCGACATTTATAAAATGAGTGTATTTCCCTGTATTTCGAGGAAGAGGAGAGAGCCGCAAGGTCATGTTGGGCAGGTTGGGACCTGATCCGAGTGACTGACAATAATGCAATAATCCCAATTTTTTTCCTCGACTCTTGAGCTCTGTGCAGTGGCCGCGGAATGTGCCATGGGGACATCGGGGGACATTAACATTGTAGGATGGGGGAGGGAGGGGTTTGTATAAGATGGGGAGATGATGGGGATATCGAAGAAGCGTGGGGATATTGTCCCTCTGTCCCCTCCAGCTTCCGCGGCCACTGCTTTATGTTGATACATTTGAGTAGCCTGAATTTTCTCAGTGGCCGCGGAAGCTGTGGGGACATCTGGGGATATTAGAATTGTAGGATAGGGGAGGGAAGGGTTTATATAAGTAAGATGGGCAGATGATGCGGACATCGAATAACCATGGGGACATTGTCCCCACGCATCCTTCCGCGGCCACTGGCTCCCCAAAAATGTTGCCCTTTTTCCTGTCAACATCATCCTCTCATCCTGTTAACACGAGTTTTCATAATCCGCAAGAGAAAAAAACACAAAAATTCACTTTCCCAAAAATCAGCTTATCTGTCAAACAAATTATCGTCACGAGCCCAAATCCCACCTTGATCGCGTCCTTGCCTCAATTATGTTTGCAGACCTCTTAATATTAGCAATTATGTGTTAATTTCGTTACGAAAATATCTGCAAACAGGACGAATGCATTATTTTCATACGTAGCTTTATACATTGTATCCCTGGGTGCATGAGGTAGTCAGTCAGTGGGTTAATTAAGTCCGAAAAACAAAAGATTATTATTGAACAAGTAATGTATGGACATCAGTTAGACCATCAATAATTCCGTGTTAATTATGGTATCATGAAAAGCAAGGTGAAATCGAGAGATCCGTCTGCTTCACATGCATACGTTGAAATTACCATTACACATTTAATTTCTCGTCGCGACATGTGTGAATTGAATTTTTGACTGTGTGCATACTTATGAAAATTACTTACATATTATTTAACTCGTGATATCTATAACCTTGCTACCTTGCGTATCCATTTCGTAATAGAAATCGACTTGATGGGATATTTTTCTTCGGAAAGCATTTTTGAAACTGTGGAAAATTTCCGACAGAAAAATTATTCTATTCCGCAAAAAATTGTGAACTTGTATTCTCGGCAGAAAAGTGGGCCAATTTTGTGATTTTCATACATTCATTCATCACTTAATCTCTCGGCCCTATACATTTACTCAATTAGGTATTTAAAATCCATATGAGTATTTACCATAATGCTCGACATAAAATTTACTGAGCAATAGTGTAAGTAGGCAGTTTAGTACATATATAGTCTGTCCAATAATAAATACGAAAATAATCCACTTTAGGGAAAATTTTTCCTATAAAAAATATCACATGGTCGTTTTCTACGGCTAATTCCTCTCTCTTCTTCGCTTTTTTCTCCCACGCTTTCCCCCAAACTTTCTCCACCATCATGTGTTCTCTTCTTACCAAAGTTCCGAACCAGGCAAAAATTTGGAGAAAGAAACTGCAAAACTTTTTCTGAATGGCTGCCTGCCTGAATTTGCTCTGGCCCCATTTTATCAGCGAAGGGAGAGAGAGATAGTCTTTAAAACTCGATAGAATATTCATGAGCTGACTACTGACTGAACTGACTCTGCGAAATTTCACATCTTTTAATATTAGACACACCTTTCTCTCTGAGGAGAAAGCCTTCACTTCACTTCATTTCACCTTCATTCCCAACTAATCTCAACCGACCCGAGCCAACCTAATTAAGAGATTTTCGTAGAAATGATGATTTGGTTATGGAATATGGCTTAGGTTTGGTCGTGAGAAGATACTTTTTAGTAATAATAAGGGGAAAGTTGAAAAAGTGGGGAGAAAATTAGGGGGACAATAACATGACGAGATATGGGAGGGGAGGAGCTTAGTGTTGGAGGGATTGGAAAACCCTTTATTTTTGGGGGACATTATGGTCACAATTTTGGAGTAATGAGGCTAAACTTTGTAAAAATGGAGAGAAAACGGAGGTGATTTGTGTGGAATCTGTAAGATTTTTGGGACAATAATATGACAAGATAAGGAAGGGAGGAGCTCATAATAGCATTTAAAGAATAGGAAAATCCTCACTTCTAGACATTAGGTGCTCTCAAGTTCCCTGAAAAGTTACTCATTAGAAATTTAACATAATTTAAAATTTGCATTTAATATTTCAATTTCCAATTTGAAAAGCGATACATAAAAAATCAGGTTTTTTTGTTCATAATCGGAAAATCAAGTCTAGATTTTCAGAAAATTTTGAGCAGAAAAATCAGAATCCTGAGCGAACAACCAAGAATACTGGGCCCTGGGCCTACAAAATCTAGATTTTCTCCTAATTCCACTGAATTTGAGAGCACCTTTTGTAATCCCCTAATGTCACCAATATGCAAATCTGATGGATTGTGTGCAGTATAATATGTTTGTCATTCCGAATAAGATAAGATAATGCCTGCCTGCCTGCCTTCTTACATTCCGAAAGTTTGTAAAGTTTCAAAAATTTTGTCCACCCGGGACGAAGGAGGAATATAATGGAAATTCTTTCGGGAATCGTGAATGCGATGGGATCTCAGTGCCAGAAAAGTTTGAGCTATCGTCCTTCCTTCGCCTCCTCGTTCTCACTCAATTCTTAACTTAAGTATGTAAGCAGTGCAGTCAGTGGCCGCGGAAGGGTGGGGACAAAAGGGAGACAATGTCCCCATGGTTCTTCGATGTCCGGATCATCTCCCCATGTTATATAAACCCCTTCCTCTCCCCATCCTACAGTGTTAACGTCCCCAGATGTCCCCACGGCTTCCGCGGCCACTGGTAGAATTCAGACTACTCAAATGTATGAACATGATGCAGTGGCCACGGAAGCGTGGAGACAAAAGAGGGACTATGTCCCCCCGGTTATCGGTTATATGAACCCCTCTTTCCCAAATCCTACAATGGCATTGTCCCAGATGTCCCCATATCTTCCGCGGCCACTGATGCCACTGATCCCCTTGAGTTAATCAGTCTCATGTAATGAGTGAGTGAAACGTGCAATGCCCGTAGAAGCATGTGGAGAGAGGGACGATTATGCTATACAAACCTCACCCTCCCCCAATCCTACAATTTTAATATCCCCACATGTCCCCCCACAGCTTCCGCGGTCACTTATGAAGGTAACCGGCTCAATTTTTATGGGTGAAAGGACTTGGTCCGTAATAAGCTCTTGGTGATCCTATTACTAACTGGGTGAGGACGGCCCGAATTAATGACGATTTTTCACGGCAGCTCCATTAAACTCAATCAAGTCGAGAAAGGAGAGAAAGTTGTTCGGAGGAGGAGAAAACGTGAGTTGGATGCTGTACACAAGTTTTGGACAGAAATTTAGTGCATTTTTAGCAAAAAGAAAAAGTTCACGTGTGCGAGTTGGCCTTCGTACACGGTTTTTTAACCAAAAAAATTATGTAACATCGCGTAGGACACTAATTACGTGAGCGAAATGTTGCCTCAATCTGCTACAAAATTCTATGATGCATTTGTAGAAAGGTCAATCATTCTTAGAAAACAGTATTTTTGCAACATTATGAGTTTATGGACAGGTTTTTAAATTTTAGCCCGAGTCAAGGCTAATGTACCCTTCATGGTTATCTGTCCGTTTATCTATCGATTACGCCTTGACATTTTGAACATACATAGAACATGAAAAATTAAGTGGCAAGTTTAAAGATGAGGACAATGTGTGGAGACAAATGGAAAAGTTGTCGTGGTCGTATTACATATTTATACCCACCTCAATTATTTTAGCAACACCCTGACTCGGGCTAAATAAAGTTGCACTGCGGGGTTTAAATAGAAAAAAATAGGCAACTGGTATTGAATAATTACGAATCATTCCTGGCGGAGTACAAATATGACTCTACCGGTAATATCGATCGTTACAATGTGGTGGTAATGAAATATTTTCCACTTACAATTAGAATCAAACTATAACCAATCCGGTAGGGAATTATTACCAAATCAATATCAGTACGGAGTACATATGTTGTATGTGACTCTACCGGATGCTTTACAGGGTACTTTTGACTTTAAATATGTATATATGTTTAATTTTTAAGTAAAAATAGACAATTACATAACAAGGCGTAGGACACTAATTACAGATATGATAAGATACATGTTATCTCTTCATTTGGCACAAAATTACTTGCCACCTACTCCCGTAATCTTTCCTCTAAAAAGAAAAAAATGCCACCCACTTGTCACCCACTATATGACATTCAGCAGACCCGCTACTGCATGATGACGCCGCTCTTTAATAATCTTATCCCTCTCAACCCATTGTGCTTTATGACAGTGGTGAAGATGACGAAATGCGATCAGTGGCCGTGGAAGCCGTGGGCACATCTGGGGACGTTAACATTGTAGGCTAGGGGACGAATGGGTTTGTATACCATGGGGAGATGATGCTGACATCGAATTACCGTGGGGACATTGCCCCTCTTTTCGGACCCTTCCGCGGCCACTGATCGCGATGACCAGACCACATGACATTTCCAAATTACGCTGAAATATGGAGAGTCGTGGAGCGATTTTCATCTTCACCGGAGGCGATAAGGAGGAGAGGAAAGGTGACAAAGACGGAGGGCGACGGGTTCAAAGGAATAAATTTCTGATGGGAAATGTCAACTCGGAATGGATCCCAATTTATCCCAAGATTTGTGATACTCTTTCGTCCGTCCTCAAAATCTGAGCTATTTTTTCTTGGGTGGGGGCAGGCAGACCGGAACTAAACTTGCACAGTTTACATATTCAATTCATCTTATCGGGTGGATAACGTACTGGAAAAAAATGTGTATTATTTGTGCGTAAAGTTGTAGGATTGTTGGGACATGAAAATAAATGGAATTCCGAAAATTCGGGGTATTTACGTCTAGAATTTTATGAATTTTTGGAATGAAAATCAATTATTTTTAGCATGAAAATAAATTATCGCAATTTTAAGCATTTTTCCCATGAAAATAATTAGATTTACTTTCACCTTCGAGGAAAAACGTGTCATATGCAAACATTGAGCAAAATTGGGATAAAATCTGCAAATATTAACCGGAAGGTGAGGGATCGCTTGCCAGAAATGCAGGACATTTATGCCCAGAATTTATTTTAATATTTTCGGCATAAAAATATGTAAGTTATCAAAATTTTGAACATTTTGACCATGAAAATAATGAAATTTACTTTCACTATTAATGAAAAAAGAGTTTTCGTATGTAAATATTCAGAAAAACTGGCATAATATATGTAGAATCTGGAAATATGCATCTAACAATTTTTGCGAATATTAATTGTGCAATTATTTTTTTGCAGAGGAGTACACGAAAATCACGACCCCACGTCAAGACGTGCTCTTCAAGAAGGGTTATTTGAGCCAGAAGAAGCCTCAGTCCTCGGTGGAAAGCGCGTCCGCAACGACCACGCCCACCGCCTCCACTAACGGCACTCCTGATACCCAGTCCACCAACGGGATCAATTCTGGTAAGAATAAATTTTCATTTCAATCCGTCAGCAGAATTATATTCATAATATTCATCAAAAATTACACGTGCAAAAAAATCGTACTTTCTATTACATATTTTGCACAAAACTGTTTCATTACGTGACAAAATATGAACCAAAACGTGCAAAAAACGTATGCAATTGTATTTTTTTATTAAATATTTTGCAGAAAACAGAACTGCTTTCTTTTCGCAGTCTCAAAAATAATTACGTAATATGAACCAAAAAATTATACATGCAAAAAATAGCACTTTTCTATTAAATATTTTGCACAAAGCTGTTTCCTCTTGCAGTCCAAAAATTATCACATAATGTGAACAAAAAACTTATACGTGCAAAAAAAACATGCATTTTTCTATTAAATTCTTTAGCACAAAACTGCTTTCTTTTGCAGTCCAAAAATACACTGAATGTCTCGTCTTTTTCTTATTATTTATGTATGTACATGATGCAAATACAGAAGTGAGTGACGTGACGTCCACGTCCCTGAGATGCATCTTATCAGATCCCAGACGAGTGTCGCATATCTATTTCATAGAAAAAAAACTTTTCGAGTCGGCATTTCAATCGAATATTCATATTTATCCGTTCAATCTTCTTACTTTTATTGTGAGAAATAGACATCACTCTACTCTAACTGATAAAGGACGTCTCCGAGAGGATGCTCTCCGATTTTGGGCAAAATAATGTCATTCGATCGCAAATTTAATTAGGATGAAATTTGCAACATAAATAATTAAAAAAACTTGTTAGAATTCTGACTTGCTGCGAGCTAATCTAAAAATTAATATGATATGCAAAATATGGTTTTTTTACTTGATAGGTATCAAAGCTTTAAGCGCAGTTTACAGGTCATGTTTTTCACGTGAAATCACCTTGGCGTGAAAATTTCACGCAAATTTCACAAAATGGGTCTCACGTCAACGGTGAAAACAACGCGTAATTTTCACTCGAGTGAAATTTTCACTCAAACTCGATGAAATTTCCGTGAAATGCTTGCACATTATTTCACGTGAAAAGTTCGGTTATTGGTCATATTGTATATTGTTGGCATAACGACAACATTACAACGTTCACGGAAAGCAATATAAATTTTCAAATTAAAGTAAATAACCGATAAAGTGATCATGGTTACTATGTTTCACTTAAAGAAATGACTAGTAATGTAAGATTTAAAATAATGACCTGTAAACTGAGCTATGGAATTTGCGTGAAATTAACTTATTTCTCGCAAATTTCATTCAAATTTCATTTTGTTGATGCGGTGAAATTTTCACGGCAATTTCATTCCGCGCAAATTATTGACCTGTAAACCTTACTTTACATTTAAAAAAAATAAAACTGTAGTTATTAACACCTGTCCAGTAGTAAATTTGGAAAGTGTAAAATTTGGATGGAGCGAACAAAGCATCTAAAAAATGATATTATTTGTGAAATATATGTTTTTTACTCGAACGGTATCAAAGCCTTTCATTTTTTAAACAAAAGTGAAGGAATAACTTCATTAAATTTGGAAAATACGAAATTTCGAAAATATAAAATTTGTCAATTTACGGCGCGTTTTCTCCTCTTTGGATGCAAATATCTCGGCCAAACGTGCCCATTGGGAGATCGTGTCTTTCGCAAATTTCATCCTAATTAAACTTGTCATCGATTTCCACTAATTTGCTACAAATCGGAGAGCATCCGCTGGGAGACCTCCTTTCTTAGCGAGTTATGAAGCATGCAAACTGTGTGCAAAACAATTAACTCCTTAATTTAATAGTATTACGTAAAGTAAAGAATAAGAACCAAGGACAATTTTTGTATTTTCAAAAATTTTACACATGTGTAAAATGCATTTCATAATTTAAAAGTGTTACGTAAAAAACAGAAAATTTCTGTTTTCAAAAATTTTACACAATGAAATAAGATTTCATCCAAGACATCGTAATCCTCCTCTAGTACAAACTCTTCCTCGTATGCACATTCATTACTAAGGAGTAGAAGGTCACTACTTGTCGGGCCCCGATTTCGATCTCCTTTAGATATGTTGTAGTACTACATGTGTGTAGAAAAAGTGAAGGAGGGTTAGACTCCATGAGCCCATTTACGCCCGCCACACCCCCTCAAAGGCGCCCAAACCCCCAGAGTTGCCGCACTAAAATCATAGCCAAAAATCGAGTTTTGGTCAGATTTTCAAAAAAATTACATTTTTGTGATCCCAGATAGTTGCTCTATCATATCCAATAGCAAACTCAACTTTTTTGAAATTTTCAATATTTTCGAAGATTTTCTGACCAAGGGTATGTATTGAAAAAATTCGAAATTCCAAAAAAGTTGAGTTTGCTATTGGATATGATAGAGCAACTATCTGGGATCACAAAAATGTAATTTTTTTGAAAATCTGACCAAAACTCGATTTTTGGGGATGAATTTAGTGCGGCAACTCCGGGGGTTTGGGCGCTTTTGAGGGGGTGTGGCGGGCGTAAATGGGCTCATGGAGTCTAACCCTCCTTCACTTTTTCTACACTCATATAGTACTACAACATATCCAAAGGAGATCGAAATCGGGGCCCGACAAGTAGTGACCTTCTACTCTTAAGTTCTTATCCTGATTAATTAATACGCTAAACCCCATGCAAACTGAGTGAGTGAGTGCAACGCGGAAATTGACACATGACAAGTCTTCTTGCCTGCCTGGTCTGACCCACATTTTGAGATTGGATGACTGACACATGCAATAAATGAGAAGCGAGCGACTAAATAACTCACACACACATTTTGTTCTTAAGAGAAGATCAGGGTGCAAATAAGACCGCCACGTGCAAGAAATAAGGGGGAGAAAGTGGTTTCTTGCAGGGAAATATTTTGACGTAGGAGAAATGCAAGGCGCGAGAAACTACGTCCAGGTGCGCATAGTTCGTACGGCGCGTGGCCAGATGGCTCATATTTCTTGCACTTTCTACCAGTTTCTTGCCCATCGCATTCCTTGCGGTATACGGAGATATGCACCCGCTCATTTGCACCCGCTCAATTGCACCCGCTCAATCGCACCCGCTCATTCGCACCCCGGCACATTTTGCACCCCAGCCAATTTGCACCCGCTCAATCGCACCCGCTCAGTAGCACCCCTGCACATTTTGCACCCCAGGCCATTTTGCACCCTTTAAAAACTAGAACAAAGAGAATAAGGTTCTAGTAAGTTTATTGATAAGTGTGTCCCATAAAAGGTGGAAAATTACACCACAAGCTAAAAGATTACATGAATGAGTAAATATTTATACTTCTCCAGCTTCAAATTTACGCACAAAAGGTTTATGAATCAAGTTTTATACAACCTTGGCAAAATTCGACTTTTTTGGTGACTAAATGTAAAATTAAAATGTACCCTAAATAAATAAATAAAGAGTACGCTTTAAGAAACTAAAAAATGTATGTAATCAGCATAAAAAAACAAATTTTGATCAACCAAATTGTAAATTATAATCGTTCATTGATAAATTTTTAGTTACTAGCTGAGTAAAAAAATCCACAACTAATTTCACCTAGTAGTTGAGGATTACTCAACCAGATTTTACACAATCTTGTACAAATTTTCTACAACTTTCGCTAGAGTGTTTGATATTCGAAAGTATTACTTTCAAAGTAATGGTTTCGGACTTTTTCTTTGATTTTGACGACACGTTATTGGGCTGTATAGTTTGACTGTGCAATCCTGCACTATGACCCAAAACGGGGTACGAGGGTAATGCTCTATCGCTGATGACTGGATGTATCCAGCCTGTGTAGTTGTACACATAGACTAAGATAGTCGAAACCCTGGGTCGCATTATTAACAACCTTCTTTGTTCTAGTTTTTAACAACTCAATGATTCATCCAGCAACTATTCCGTTTGTTCTAGTTTTTAAGGGGTGCAAAATGGCCTGGGGTGCAAAATGTGCCGGGGTGCGAATGAGCGGGTGCGATTAAGCGGGTGCAATTGAGCGGGTGCAAATGAGCGGGTGCATTTATCCGCAATTCATTTCTTGCACTTCGCATTTCTTGCGGGGCTTGCTTTACAATGCAAAAAATGTAGCACACCCGAAAGAAATGAAACTCGTGGTCGGGTTATTCAGAAAGTGTAAAATGTGAAACTTCAAGACCGGATTTAAGAATTTATGGATATGAAATAAATTGAGGAATAGTTAGATTTTTAGGAAATAATGATTATGAAATTATCGAGATTTCTGGCAATTTATTCTTTAAATTTCTGGCAAATTCGTGCAGTTTCTTGCAATTTCTTGCAGTTTCTTGCAATTTCTTGCAGTTTCTTGCAATTTCTTGCAGTTTCTTGCAATTTCTTGCAGTTTCTTGCAATTTCTTGCAGCTTCTTGCAATTTCTTGCAGTTTCTTGCAATTTCTTGCAGTTGCTTGCAATTTCTTGCAGTTCCTTTCAATTTCTTGCACTTTCTTGCAATTTCTTGAACTTTCTTGCAGTTTCTTGCAGTTTCTTGCAATTTCTTGCAATTTCTTGCAGTTTCTTGCAATTTATTGCAGTTTCTTGCAGTTTCTTGCAATTCCTTCCATTTCATGCTTCCCACTGCAAGAAATGCAGCAAAATCCAACAGAAACGAAGCCCTGGTACCCAGAACTAAATAACTCACCCATTTTGTTCATCTCTTTAGTTCTTTACATAAGAAGAAGCTTGCTTTCACTCCATTTTTCATCTCCACTCTCATTTCAAATTGCCAACTGGTCGTGGTTTTGGCCACGTGGTGCATGTGCTCCATCTCATCCCTCAGCTTGTGAGTTTATGAAGGAAATAAATGTCAAGAGATTAACCTGGTCTGGTCCGTGGGGATTACGTGACTAGGATTGCGGAGCAGGGAGCAATTTGCAGCCAAAGTCAACATTTTATCGGCACCATTCCCCTAAAGATGAGCATACATACAAACACAAGGTTGGACGGGAGTAAGAGAGGCAGGGTCAACTTCATTTCATATCATAAAAATTATAC